CGTAATCCGATAACCGGTCAATGGAGCGCAATCACAGGAAAAAAACAATGATTGGGCTCTTATCATTAACATACTTCCAATTTGTTCGTCAGTACCAGTGGTCTCTTTATAATGAATGAATTCTTTCCCGCTGGGTGCATAGTGTCTTACTCCATTGGAAGTGGGCCTGTAATCTCAAGAGTAGCGATAATGCGCGCTCAATTACGCACTGAGAGTTAACAATCACAACTGAAGGGCATCCCACCACCATAACTATTTGGTTTGAAATGAAAATGCTGGGTTTTAGATGACTTCTTCCATTCACTCCACTGACAGGATGTTTGAATTCGATATTGATTTTATACCTTTCCGCAGTAGTTATTGCATAATTTATTTTTAGTTGGACTCATTTCGTCTTTCCGTATCTGTCAATACCTCGACTAACCTAGTAACCCATGTAGCTTGCAGGTCCAAGTTCCGGGATTTGGGCTGCTAGCTTCTGTGGGTGAACAGCAGGTCCTTGTGATTGCTGTTCATCACAAAATTGTTTTGGCTTCCACAGCATTGATCTTTTGTGCGAATATTAATTCAAAGAACGATAATATACGAATAAGCAAAATGAAATCCTCCACGTTATTATCTAAGACCCCCAAGTTGTTAACGACGCATGCAATTCATACGTAAACCGAAATTTTGAAAATTCAAGGTCCTCTGTTTCTTCGAAAATCAGGGTGTTGTAAGGAAACAATGAACGGCAATGCTTATTAAAATGGCTTCTCAAATTCGGCCATCTCAACGAAGTTTCTTACGGGTGTGCGTGTATGTTGTCCGAAAATGGAAACACGGAATACAACAAACTGAACCCGATCTGTGACAACAGTGATCGACGCAGGATGCGTTTTTGTTTCACCACACTAATTCACTTGACCTGTGGTACACAACAGAATGCGTCGTAAACGCAAACCCGATGTTAACATGTTGAACTAACTTCACGAAACCGTTCCATTTTGTCACACATTTCGGTGATTACCAACTCGCATGACACGGTCCACATAACGACTACTAGGCATAATAATTGTTCAACCAAAATATTCCACCGATTTGCATACCTGAATACAGATCAAATTGACCAGACGTGTTTCGTAGTCTGAGTGAATCGAGCCGCTTTTGATCGACTGAGTTGCCCTTGACAAGGAGCACATCATTGCATAGATCTGGATCGCTGCGTCTGCAAGCCGGGTCAAACGGAACTGTTCTTCTATCACAGTTTTTCGATATGTGGTCAACAATTTCAGACAGGCATCACCGAACAGATCGATCGCATCTCCGGTCAAACGGCCCGACTGGACGAGACAAGGTGGGAATGATTTTTTCAGAGATCGAGCATTCGTTGA